AGGAGAGGTGGTCGGCCCCCTCTCTCTCTTTCCCCCTCGAGGAATCCTATTCCAACTAGGATTGGGGGCGGAATCCTACTCCCAGAGGGAGTAGGACTCCCTTGGAGCACCCTCCATGGCCGGCCGGCCCCTCCCCCTTGGCTCCTTTATATACGGAGGCAGGGAGGCACCCTAGAACACACAAGTTGATAATTGAGATCGTTCCTTAGCCGTGTGCGGTGCCCCCTGCCACCATATTCCACCTTGATCATATTGTAGCGGTGCTTAGGCGAAGCCCTGCGACGGTAGAACATCAAGATCATCACCACACCGTCGTGCTGGCGAAACTGCTCCCCGACGCTTTGCTGGATCGGAGCCCGAGGATCGTCATCGAGTTGTACGTGTGCTAAGAACTCGGAGGTGCCGGAGTAACGGTGCTTGGATCGGTCGGATCGGGAAGACGTACGACTACTTCCTCTACATTGTGTCAACGCTTCTGCAGTCGGTCTGCGTGGGTACGTAGACAACACTCTCCCCTCTCGTTGCTGTGCATCACCATGATCTTGCGTGTGCGTAGGAAAATTTTGAAATTACTATGTTCCCCAACAGCATCTTGATCTTTTGATTCTTGAGAAATTTGATGTTCTTCCTCTCTCTGCAACTGTGTTCTGTTATGGCCTTCCTCAACTGATCAATGGATTGGAATATATGGCCATTGTGAAACATAGGACTAGTCATATCTTCTGCCACAAATGGCATCAAATTCATTAATCTGAATGTCTCATCATCTGAATGTGCATCCTCAAAGAAGTCATCATCAGACACATCACCTTATGGAATAATTGTCTTGTCATCCTTTGGTTCTTGATCTGTATATTGTTGGTAAAGATCATCATCTTCAACTTCTAAGTCATTATCACTGTCAATAATATGTGGAAACATAATAAGGTTCACTGTCAGTGCCCCAATCCTCCACATCATCATCTTGCCTGCTTACTCTTCTCTTCCTCCTTGCACCCTACATAGTAACACTGCCTTCGACATCATTTACTTGAACAATTGCATTGTCCATAGTGCCTTTCTTGCTAGGACTGATGACAGCAGGAAAGTTTGTTACAGGATTTGCATCTATATCATCCCACTTCACTACATGCATTGCTGGCTCATGATCAAGATATAACATTAAAAACCTGTGCCCATGTTTCAACTTTCCAATCATGCTCAGTTGATCTTTGTCTTCAGATATTAACTGCAAACCATCTTCATTTATCTGCATTCAGGGAAGCGACCAGTACACATCGATCCTGCCTGCAGACTCATATCCTATATGTCCTCAATTATATCATCAAGCCAGAGAGATGACCAAGTGTCAGCATCTAAATCATCATAGAAAACATTGGTACCATCTACGTATGCCGTCTTTGCATCATGACCAACAAAAAACCCTCCATGGATCACGTCAATAGTAAACTATCACTCCTTTCTTCTGCACATTCAACAAAAAATAAACAAACAAGCAGGAAGTTCAGACCTTTGTCACTGCTTAAAACCCTAAGTTCATAACAAACCATCATCTATCATACTATTACCAACACATTGATCATAAACATCCACTTGTACTCGCTCTTAATCAACCTCAAATTCGAGAAAAATAGATGCAGGCTAGAACTCGCCATAGATAGGAATTGGTTCTCCTTTCGATCACCGCACCAGCGCCATCTCCGACGATGTGGGCCCTCCACCAATGCCACATCACCAGCGTACATAGCTAGGACCGTATGTGGACGCGCATGACAAGTTTGAGGGCTGTTTTGATGCATTTCATGAGTTCTGTGGTCGTTTCCTATGTAGCCAGTGAGTTCCGAGACTGTACATGCATTTTACTCTTCAATTGTGAAAATCGCAAGATGGGAGGATTGTAAATGTTAAGACTCATTGACATGTGGCTCCTCTTTATAATAGCTGGCATTCATGACACACGGTGGCCATGGAAATAACACTACCACAAACACATGAACAAGCCGTCTTTAGGGCTTGTTTGGTCTAAATGCGCTTATATTTCTTTATAGAGGGAGTACTAGTGTATTTTTAGGGATTTGTGGGGATTATCCCCACCAAACCGCAAATCCCCACTTATCCCTAAAAGCATGTTTGGTTCTAGTGTATTGGGCTAGTTTAATCCCCACTTTTCCCCAAATGCTAGTGGATTTTCTCCAATACCCAGTACACTACCGCTACCTAGTGGATTGGGGTTTTATGGGGATTTGAGGGGATTTGTTGGAGGTAGGGGTTTCACCCAATCCCTTTGGGGACTACCCCCTCTAATCCCCACAAAACCTCTAGTACCAAACAAGGCCTTGGGGTTCTGGGGAAAAGCGGACTAAACCTAGGGTTTTTTCTGAAGGAGTTTTCATGAATAATTCCTCTCATTCTATATGATGTGGTTGCCCCACCATGCTAAATTTGACATTAAGCTACTAACTAGAACTTAAACGTTGTTCCAAATAGTAATTATCATAATTAGCACTAAAAATGAGACGTTAAAGAATCTATACCTAATAATAGAGGGGCTATTGCTACTGGCGGTACGTTATTAAAATTGCCCCCAAAGTTGCAAAATATTATCCACCAATACTACCTATAAATGACAAAAAAACATTTTGCAGGGAATCCCCCATCTGGGCCGGCCCAAGCATAGGGGCCTACTATACTGCGCTTTGTGTGTTGGAGAAGACACAACGCGCTCATTTGGGCCGGCCCATCTGCGGGCACCTATATTTTTATTTTTATTTTTTCGTTCCTTTTTTCTACTTTAAATAATTGGGAACTTAAAAAACTGAATTTAAAAAAAACTGAGAATTTGAAAATGTTTGTGAATTCAAAAAATGCTCGAGATTTTTCTAAAAATGTTCACATATTCAAAGGAAGTTTGCAATTTTGAAAAAAAATGTTCGTAAAATAAAAAAGGTCCATGATTTTTAAAAAAGGTCTGTGTATTAAAACTAATAAATGAAATTGAATAAAAATTTCCTATTTCAAAACATGTTCATGCATTTTAAAAAATGTCCTAAAATTTTAATAATAGTTCATGAATTACAAAAGAGTTTTTTGATTCATAAAATGGTTTCTGATTCATAAAATGTTCATGCATTTAAAAATATCGTGAATTTAATAAAATCTACCAATTTCGAAAAAATGCCACCTATTCTAGAATTGTTTGCCGATTCAAATGAAAATGCATAAAAACAGTTCGCAATATATAAAAATTTCGCAATTTTTGAAAAATGTTTGTAAATAGTCAAAAAATCATGATTTTTAAATGTTCCCAAATTTGTAAAAATGTTCATGAATGATCGAAGGTATGTAGTTATACAGTAATGTTTCTGAGTCTTTGTGACTATATACCCACGTGAATTTTAAAGAATTAACTGCCGGGGTGGATTGGTATATTATTGTATGTTTGTTTCAAGAATAGCATGACAATCAAGATATTTTTTTCGAAAATGTGAAATTGCTTCAATTTGTGAATAAATTTTAAAAAGAAACATTTCCTTGCATTTGTGAACAAATTTTCAAAGTCATGTGATGTGTTGTGAACAAAATATGGTCATCGCCATTGAAGATTATGATTTTTTTTCCTTGCAATGCACAGGCCCTTTTGCTAGTATAGCTAAGCTATGTGTGGGATCTTGCTCCCCTCGGTTTGTTACGGCCGAGATCAATTCCAACAAAAAAGAAAGGAACCCGGCCGACTTGATCTGGGCTGGTCATGTGCATGCATCGTGGGTGGTTTGGCTACACACGTAATTAAGCACCTGAGGACTAGTAGTAGAATCCGTAAGCGTTTCTGAATCTGAGATGGAGTCATGACCGTGTCTGATAAGAGGTCGCGCGTACTAGTTGAGGTCCTGATCCGCGCGCGGCCGTGTGTGCGTCTCGGTCTCTCTTCGATGACCCACTATATATATATACAGCACCGGTCGATCGCCAAATCCAGAGTTAGATGGAAGAGGTAGCAGTAGCACACACGCGAGCGACGACCCCTAACCCCACCTTCCGTCGCGATGAGGAGCCCCCCAACGGCTGTCATGACGGTGGCAGCGCTGCTGCTGCTGCTGCTGGTATCCCTGACGGCGGCGGCGGAGGACACGACGGCCAAGGAGAGGGAGAGGATCCAGGAGTTGCACGATCGGGTCTTGGCGGACTGGAAGGCAGGGCACGGCAAGAACATCAGGAGCGAGGAGGAGAGTCGACGGGCGTTTGCCCAGTGGAAGGCCGAGTACCGCAAGAAGTACAGCTCCGCTCGCGAGGAGGAACACCGTTACGCTTTCTTCAAGGAGAGCCTCCGCAAGGTCGATCTGCACAATGCCGCCTTTGGCCCCAACTCAGTTTACAGCATAAAAAACGGGCTGTTCAGCGACCGCACCGATGAGGAGTGGCGTTTCCTGAGCCAGGGAATGTCGCCATATATACCAAGAGAAGAACCTAATCCACAAATGCTTCCAATCTATATCTGTGGTGTTCGTTGATTGTACAATATTCTACTAGAGTTCATTTATAAGTTCTTACATGGTTCCATAAAAAATTGTTGGGTAATTTGCATAATTGTGTGATCCTATCGCTGACTGAGGTACACCATGGAAGTCAATCGATAGACTTCATTTGTTTTTAAGCTATTGATTGATAGCAAAAAAATTGAATTGATATGACTTCGTTAGGTAAGTCTTACCAGTTACATGCCCACCTGTCAGATCTACCGCGTCGACGACGATGAGTATTGGCGGCATGGTGCTGCTGGATCTCGACGATAAATGTGTCTGGATGGACAAGCGCAAGGCGGTGACGCCGTGGCGGCGTCGACGGCGGGCCTAACAAGGCTGTTGCATCAGTACCCGCTCTGAAGATGGATCATTGGTAGACAGCGGCGACGACCCATGAGAGTGTGTCGGACCGGTTTGTGCCCTAGACCCGGTATGTGGCTTGGCTGGAGCCTCCGGCTTTAGATGTTAGGCTTAGGTGAGAGGTCCGAGTATTCGGTTCAACATTTCTGCACACCTTCATCAAGTGTATAGGAGTAGCGACAGTTGTTGCCAAGATGGCGGACTCAGACATATTTGATGTACTACTTTGTAAGGTCTTCGTAAATAATTTATAAAATGGTTGCATGCATCGTTCAGATGCAGAAACCGGGGGTCATCCTCCTTTTCTAAAAAAAACGTTACATGGCCACCGTGGAACCAAATCCAATCCCCTGTAGCCTCTCGGTAGCACCATTACTCGAGAGAAGAAACACGGCCGGTGAATCTAGATATGGCACTTGTGTTTGTTGCCAGAAGTCGACAACTTTAGCGTAATAATCTTCCTTATGTTCAAAAGTTTAGATGCACATGTCTATCTTGTACTCAAATGTGGTTTCCATTTCATTTATTATGCAAAGTTTATGACATCCGTGGAATTTTGTTTGGAAACAGTTCCCTATATATTACAGATGATGAAAAAAACAGTTAACAATAGCTTTGATTGTTATTGCCCAGAGTTTGAAACTAAAGGTTTATCGCTGGTCTCAAGAAAACTATGTGAGAGTCGGCATTCAAAACCTAAATAACACTCGCCTAGTTTCCAACTTTCCACAAACTTACTATTCGTCCATATTTACAGCAAGGATGGAACTCATGCAGCGGACATTATGCATAATAACCAGGTTTATCCCCTCACACCTTTGTGACCACTTCTTCTCTACAGATCCTAACGAGCAGCGACTAACAGTCCCACATCTACTTCTCTCTCATGTGTCTGCTACTCTCCCATCGGTTAGAGCTCATAATCTTGATGCACGGGCTCGATGAAATTCTTGCAGTAGAGTTCTGGTGCGCATGAGAGCAGCAGCGGGAGCTCGTGACTGGCAACAAACGGAACTCCTATGTTCATTCCTCTGACAAGGCTTTGTGACGCTCTAGCTGTGGCGGCACGAATCAAGGAAGATAATTACGTCCGTTGAAAAAAAAAAGACTAGCAAAGGCCTAGAATGCTGTCCAAAACAAAGTTTTCCTACAAAACCCAACATGTTCCAGCAGTGAAGGATATATACCATGAAGTTAAATTGTGTATTTTTTTTGAAGAAAACTTCCAATCTATTCATCTTCAATCATGACAGTACGACAAACACCAGAAAAAAAAATTACATCCAGATCCGTAGACCACCTAGCGAAGACTAGAAGCACCGAAGCGAGCCGAAGGCGCGCCGCCGTCATCGCCCCTCCATTGCCGGAGCCGGACACAACTTGTTGTAGTAGACAGTCGCGAAGTCGTCGTGCTAAGGCCCCATAGGACCAGCACCCCAGAACAGCAACCGCCGCCGATGAAAAATAACGTAGATTGGAAGGATCCAAACCGAAGACACACGAACGTAGACGAACAACGACGAGATCCGACCAAATCCACTAAACATAGATCTGCTGGAGAGACACCTCCACACGCCCACCAACGATGCTAGACGCACTGCCGGAATGGGGGCTAGGCGGGGAGACTTTTATTCCATCTTCAGGGAGCCGCCGCCGTCTCACCTTCCTGAATAGGACACAAACCCTAACAAGATTGAAAAAACGACTAAAAACAGAGCCCTCCCGTCGGCCCTTGCCAGGATCCACCGCGCCTCCATGGCCCTAGGGCCACCGGAGACGAGGCGGACCTGCGGCAGCGCCGGCGAGAGGCGGAAACCTAACTTTCTTTTTTGGAGGAGGAGGAGGAGGAGGCAGAGCCCTAAATTGGGTAATTAAGTAACCTAGCCATTGTATGTATATCAGCATGGTTCTTTCCATGGCTGATCAGTCTGTATGTATGCTTTATATCAAGACATAAGCACATTTGCAAACTAGCCTTGACATACATAATCCATGACGAATAGAGCAGGCAATTAACACCGTGGTCCACGCTTTCTGGCACCCTCACCAAATGCATGAAGCAAGAACTGGCCAGCCATAAACCATGTTACCTAAAATCGTCGGTCATGCAGGAGACGCTCGCACACACTCATGAAAAAGTCTAATTTCTCTCAGGAAAGATCGCAACACGTTCCTACCAGCACAAGCACAAATTAAGCGCACACCAATTTGGGCGGAAACTTGTTTAACCAGTTGCGAGAACTGTAACAGAAACGCAAGAAATTACATGTAAGTCTTAACTGTGCCACTACATATCGCTGAACGAGGACTCTACCATTACCTTTTTTCTCAACCGTGTGTGCCACTAATATTTGGCATTTTTTCACCACACACAAGATGCAATTGACGCCGGTTCCGTTAGGTCAGCCAAACTTGCCATCTTGTTTGACTCCGTTCTCACATCAGGGACCCACATAATGGCAAAGTCACCAAAGACGACAATTCAATTTCGACCATTTTTCTTACGAGTGGACCCACCACTTTGCCTTGTCGGCAGGAGACGACGCTGTACCACGTTCAAGGATTGTGTGGTGATTGTGAAATACTTCCTCTGTTTATTTAAATAAGATGTATTTGTTTTTTCAGAAGTCAAACAAGTGCATGTTTGACCAAGTTTTTAGAAAAATATATCAATATCCGCAATACGAGATTTATATCAATTGATCCATAATGAAAAGTAGTTTCATATTTTATCTAATAGGTATTCCAAATGTTGTTATTTTATTCTATAATCTTGGTCAAACATTCAAATGATTGACTAACATGGAAACCAATACATCTTGTATTCTGGAATGGGGGAAGTATTCTACTACACTTCACATGTTTTTATCACAACTTGTTAGGTCATTGCATAATTGTGTGATTCTATCGTTGACTGAAGTACACCATGGAAATCAATCTGTAGAGTTCCTTAGAATTGAAGTGATTGATAGCAAAAAAAAAAAGTGAAATCATATGTCTTCATTCGATAACTCTTACTAGTTACATGGCCACCATGCATGGAACCAAAACAAATCCCCTGCCGCCGGCAGATAAGGCCACCCATCGTACTGCTCGCATCTGAGGCCAACCGGAACTGCACACTCGTCACTGAATCCTACCGTCGCTCACCGCCGATACCGCTTCCTAACTGAGTAACACTGAAGAACAGCTCCGTTCGTCCGTCAGTTAAACTACGGTCGTGATCTTCAGGTGACGCTTTGAGCTCATCCAACGGTCAACAGCGTTCCAGCAGTTTAGTTTAAACCTCGGTTTAATCGGCGCCTAAATGTGTTTGACATGTAATCACACTTAAGTTAAGTGTATCTCTAAACTCAGCGTGGTCCTATCCTTTTGATATAAAGGGATGGGAGAGGGTGGTCGGGTGGCACGCTGTCAGTAACAAAAAAACATTGTTCTTTCTTTGCAAGTTTACCATTAGCTAGATCTAGCTCACAGGAGCCCCTTCTTCCCCTTCTCCTTCGGCAACAGTCAGTGACCGCTCGAGGTCCTGGCAAGGCGGTATTAAGGCCAACTCCACCGCGCGACCTTATCGTGTCCGCTCTCGTCCGTTTGGGGTAAAACGGACAAACGAGACGGCCCAGCGCGCGGGCGCAAACGGACTTTTGTTCGCTTTGTGTCCGCTTTCGACCCATCCCGGCCGAAGTTTACGCCGGTTTTAGGGTGAAACGGACAGCGCGCGGACGGACGCGCGCGCTTGTCCTCCCCTAGCCCGCCTATCGGTGGGAGAAACGAAAACCCACCCACGCCCATTTGTCGCCATTTCCCCCAAACCCTTCCACGTCCCTCCCGCCGCCCCTCTCTCCCCCGGCCATGGCCGACGCCCCGCCGAGTTCCGGCGGCCTGGCCGTCAACCCGCCCACAAAGGTGAAGAAGGCGCCAAGGAAGCCGCGATCGGAGTGCACGCCGGAGGAGATCGCCAAGTTGGACGCGGAATCGGCGAAGAGGAGGGAATGGAGAGCGGCCGTCAAGGTCAATGCCGCCGCTGCCAAGTTCGCCGCCCAACACGAGGAGCTGGAGGCCGCGCGGCGCAAGGCCGCTACCGACGAGAAGGAGGACCTCGTCAACAAAGCGCACGCCATCCTCATGCTTGGCGGCATGGGCCGTCCGGCCGGGTTCCCTGCAGCGGTCGTCGGCCCGGCGAGCACAGGCTCGTCGGTCGCCCGGCCTACGCACTGCCAGTCGCCGACGTCGCGCGCCGCGCCCATCTCCCTCGGCTTTCCTCCGCCAAGGCACGACGGCCAGACCCGTTTCTCTGCGTCGTCGGACGTGGGCTTGTTCGCGCCATCCACACCACGCCCTGCGACCGTCATCGACCTCAACGTCACGCCTGGGTCCAGCAGCGGCGGGCGGCCGTCCGTCGAGATGCTAAGAAAGCAGGCACGGGCACCATGCCGGCCCCCCGCGTCTTGTTTGACGGAATGCCAACCCCAACACCAACGGTCGACGACCCCTTCTACAGCCAGTACATGGAGGACGTGATCTTCGAGAGTGGGCATGGCCGTGCCTACGACCCCGAGGAGAACCAAAGTTAGGGTGGCCGCGCCGAGTACGTGCCCGATGAAGAGGCCGACGACTGTGCTGACTACGACCATGGTGACTCGTGGCATGAAGACGATGACATCTATGTCGAAGGTGATGAAGAAGAAGGCAATGACGTTGATATTAGTGGCGAGCCATTGTTCATCGACGAGCTCACCCAAAGAGCGGAAGCACAAAAGAAGAGGAAGAGCATTCGCACGGGTTCATACACACAAGATGAGGACAAGTTGATTTGTCAAG